GAGGGCAGGCAAGCACACACCTGACTACTGGAATTAATGATGATATCCCATTGTATAGACTTTAAAAATAAACATACAGTTCAAAAAGACTTGCTATCAAACAATTAGCTGAGCAAACTATGAAATAAATGACAAAAAGGTTATAATATTTGTAATAATATAAAGAAAGCTAATAACAAATATAAAACATAAAACCCTAATAACTACTAAAGAATAACAAATCACTAAAAATACAATTTGCTCATAAACATGAAAAAAATGAACCCTATTAAAGGAATGCAAACTGAAACAACAAATATTACTTCAAAATATCCAATTAGCAGAGAAAGAATAACATTTAATGCTGCATCCCCTTAGAATGTAAAATTCCTCCTGTTTTGGCCAAACATTTGTGTTTTAAAATAAAATAAACAAAATAAAAAATGCTTACAAGGGTGTGATGACATAAAAACACCCCAATACTGACTGGGGACAATGGCAGTCAGTACAGTCTTTAGACAATTTGTGAAGAGTAACAGGAGATAGATTTTTGTGGCTTTCAAGTTCATACCCTGTGATCATTAATTCCACTACTATGAATAGAAATTTTTAAAAATCAGAGAGGCAGATAAAGGCTTACAATGGTATTTATCCCAGTTATTTAAATGTCCCATAAAACAGGAAACAACTACAATGCCAAACACTAAGGAAATGGTTCATTATAACAGTAAATACTATGCAGCCATTAAAAATGATCTTAAATTACTACTCAGGAGGAGAAATGTAGAGGACAGATGTTAAGCAAAAAAAGCAGGATCTATAATTTTTAATTCAGTCTTAGCTAAAACTGTTTAAAAGAAGGCAGAGATTTTGTACTCTGCTAATTTGTCAAATTCATTTATTAGTTCTAATGGGCTTTGTTGTTATCGTCAAGTCTTTACAGTTTTCTACATATAAGATCATATCATAGACATAATTTTACTTCTTTCCTATTTAAATGCTTTTAATGTTTTTTTTCTCGTCTAATTTCTGGACTACGACTTGAAATACTATGTTGAATGGACATGACAAAAGCAGGGATTCCTTGTCTTATTCCTGATCTTAGACAAAAAACTTTCAGTCCTTTACCATTGACTAGGATATTACCATCATATCATAGACATAATTTTACTTCTTTCCTATTTAAATGCTTTTAATGTTTTTTTTCTCGTCTAATTTCTGGACTACGACTTGAAATACTATGTTGAATGGACATGACAAAAGCAGGGATTCCTTGTCTTATTCCTGATCTTAGACAAAAAACTTTCAGTCCTTTACCATTGACTAGGATATTACCTAAGTAACATGATATGAAGTTAATACATAAAAATCAGTTTGCTTTCTTTCCTTTTTTTTGAGGCAAGGTCTTGGTTTGTCACCCAGGCTGAAGTGTACTGGTGTAAAGAGCTCTCTGCAGCCTTGAACTCCTGGGCTCAAGGAATCCTCCCACCTCAGCCTCCCAAGTAGCTAGGACTACAGGCTCATGCCTGACTAGTTTCTATATGACTATAATGAATAATTTGAAAATGAAATAACAAAAAATTCCATTTGCAAGAACATCAAAAAATAAATTACCTAGGAGGTAAAATACATACTGAAACTATAAAACACAAATGAACAAAATTAAAGAAAATATAAACAAGTAAAAAGGACCAGAAGATTCAATATTTATTACGTGTGTATGTGTAGTTTTAGAGACAAGATCTCACTCTGTTACCCAGGCTTAAGAGCAGTGACACAAATGGCTCACTGCAGCCATCAACTAACTCCTGGGCTTATGCGATCCTTCCACCTTAGCCTCTCAAATAGCTGAGCCTACAGGCATGAGCCACCACACTCGCCTTATTTTATTTTATTTTTTTTGCAGAGAAGGGGCTTGCTGTGTTGTTCAGCCTGGTCTTGAGCTCCTGGCCTCAAGCAATTCTCTCACCTTTGCTTCCCAAAGAGCTAGGATTATAGGTGTAAGCCACAGCACCCAGTCCTTAATATTAAAATGTCTACCACCCAAATCCATCTACAGATTCAATGTAATCCCTATCAAAATCCAAGTGACTTTTTTCTGGAGAAAAGGAAAACTCCCTCCTAAAGTTCAATGGAAAACTCAAGGAACCCTCAACAGCCAAAACTATCCTAAAAAAAGAACAAAGTTGACAGAAAAACATTTCCTTATTTCACAATGTACTACAAAGCAACAATAATCAATACAGTATTGGTATCACAGTTAAGAACAGACATATAGACCAATGGAATGGGAACAGAAAGCCTAGAAACAAACCCTTGCAAATAGAGTCAAAATATTTTCTACAAGAGTGGTAAAGACCATTCATTGGGGCAAAGGCAGTCTTTCAACAAATGAAAACAGACAAGTTGGGCTTCATCAAAATTTAAAAGTTTTGTGCAGCAAAGGCCATTGCTAACAGGGTAAAAAGGCAACCTGTAAAATGAGAGAAAATGTTACCGAATCATGTATCTAATAAAGGATTAATATCAAGAATACATAGAGAAATTCTAAAACTCAACAACAACAACAAAAATCCAATTCAAAAGCAGGCAAATAATTTGAATAGATATTTCTCAAAAGACTGTACAAATGGCCGATAAACATGTGAGAAGATGCTCAACATCACATTAAGCATTAGAGAAATACAAAACGAAACCACACCACAAGGAGATGCCATTTCATACCTACTGAGAAGATAAATACCAAAAAAAAAAAAAAAAGGAAGCCGGCACAGTGGCTCCTGCCTGTAATCCCAGCACATTGGGAGGCCAAGGCAGGCAGATCATGAGGTCAAAATATAGAGACCATCCTGGCCAACATGGTGGGAAAAAAAAAATGTATTAAAATATTTAGTAACAGGTAATTCTTCTTGGTTTGTTAATCAGTAAATTATTGTGGGTTGCAGTGAGCCAAGATCATGCCACTGCACTCCAGCCTGGGCGCCAAAGCAAAACTCCATCTCAAAAAAAAATTTTTTTGTTGTTGTTTTTTTTTTTTTTTTAGCTAGGCATGGTGGCACACATCTGTAGTCCTCCTAGCTACTCGGGAGGCCAAAGTGGGAGAATTATTTTGAGCCCAGAAGTTCAGGGCTGCAGTGAGCTGTGATCACACCACTGCATTCCAACCTGGGTGAAAAAGTGAGACCTTGTCCAAATAAATAAATAAATGGTATGGCCAAAAAAAAAGAAAAAAAAAAGGGAACCAGAGCAATATGCCTCATTAAAAAAAATAAAAAATTATATATATTACTATAGATACAATACATACTGTTTATCCCTTAGTGATAGGACTAAAGATGATAATTTTTTATTACTTTTATACCACAGTGTTTTTCAAATTTTTCACCACATATATTTTTTGGTCTAAGATAAAATTTTTTTAAAAGTTGTTGATGACTTAAATAGGCCTAATTTCAAGGCTAAGAGGTTTTCAACAGAAACAACTTTGTAAAATTATGACAAAATTATCATTAAACAGTATTTCCCAGTATAAATTTTAAAATTCTCTCTAAAATCAGTATTTTATTAATACAAAGCAGAAATTCACCTCAGTCTTAACTTCCTTCAAGAAAGGGCAAAGCTTTTCTAAAGTTTTATTAATTTTTTAACTATGATATTGACGTATAGGTTTTCATACTATTGATACTGTTTCCTGCTTTTGAGAATTCTCATATAAAATTCACCAATATGTTATAATTATTCATAATTTAAAAATTTTATCCAGTTTTTGGGTTAAGGTCTATAAAATTAAAATAATGCTAGTAAGGGTTTAGAGTTTTTACATGAAGAATTCAACATACTCATTAAATACTTTTTAAACCCTACTATGGATAAAAATTTTCTCTAGTTTGCTATGCAAAGTTTCCTATGAAAACTACAGGTCAGACAGATATTATTTTAATCTTTCAATACTGTTTAAAAATTTAAAAGGAACTACCCTAACTCATTAGTTATACTAATTACCTGCAATCATATTTCAGTGGCTTTTTAAGTACTTCTTTGATAGTATCCTAAGAAGAAAACTATATAAATATTGCAAATTTGTTACATGCTAGATGTGCTGCCAGAAAACAGTGGTAACAATGTTTAAATAAATATGGCTCTTTTCTTAATACAATTTAATAACCTTGTTTACTTCCTGTTTTTTTCTTAAATAAAACAATTCAAATTACCAGGGACTTTGCTGAAAATTATATTTTCTTAAATGAAACATATCCTGATAAGAAGTAATTTAATCCATTAATTGAATATATAATTACACATTAAACCTCTATCACCCACAATGACTTACTGATGAACAAATCAAGAAGAATTACTCATTAAATGTTTTAATACAGTGTGTACCATCTTCTACTTAACAAAGTTTCATTCAGCAAAGTTATTCCACATGACATACAGTCAACTATCTCTCAGGTGACTTTCATCCAATTTATAAACTTATTTATGAACTACATAAGCTGACAGAATACTAATCAAGAGACACATAAAGCTGTTTTAACAAAAGGAAGGCAGTATTTTGAAATCTCTGCCAGATACGTCAGAAACTCTTCAGAAATATTAACTTAAAAATCACTAAGATGAATCTAAACTTTTATTCAATTCTTGGTCTTAAATGTTTATTTATTTATTTATTTATTTTTAGAGATGGGGTCTCACTGTCACCCCAGCTGGAGTGCAGTGGCGTGACAGGAACTCACACAGTCTTGGTCTTGGGCTCAGGTGATCCTCCCACCTCAGCCTCCCAAGTGGCTGGGATCACAGGTATGTGCCAACACACCCAGCTAATTTTTTGGGGGGTGGGGGTAAAGATGGGGTCTTGCTTTGTTGCCTAAGCTGATCTCCAACTCCTGGCTTGAAGCAATCATCCTGCCTCAGCTTCCCAAAGTGCTAGTTTCATAGGCATTAGTTCACCACACCTGGCTGTTGTTTTTTGTTTTTAACAAACAAATAAAAATGCTTAATGAAACAGGAATAGATCTTACCAATGCAGGCCACTGAATCTGTTTGCTCTTTGATCCCTGAGTCTGGCTAGGGTCATTCCTTTTGGCCCAGATTAAGTGGTATTCCACCAAGAAAGTTGAAAAATCTTCATAAACTTTAACCCACTCTCGTTTATCCCATTCAAGATCATCAAATTCCACATACACCTATGAAAACAAAAACACAAAATTCAATAAGCAAAATAGAAGAGTGGTATATCTTTTTTTTACTGACACATAATAATCATACATATTTATGGGGTACATATGATATTTTGATACATGCACACAATGTGTAATGATCAAATCAGGGTAATTAGAATATCCACCATCTCAAATATTTATTATTTATTTGTGACAGAAACATTTCAAATCCTCCCTTCTAGCTATTTTGAAAAATACAATAAATTACTGATAACTATAGTTACCACACTGTGCTATCAAACACTAACACTCCTAATTGTAGAAGGAAGAAAAGGGAACTCTAGTACACTGTTGGTGGGAATGTAACTTAGTACATCCAATATGGAAAACAGTATGGAAGTTCCTCAAAAAACTAAAAGTAGATCTACCATAAGATCTGGTAATCCCACTGCTGGGTAAATAGCCACAAGAAAGGAACACATATTAAAGAGATAGCTGCACATCATTGTTTACTGCAACACTATTCCCAATAGCCAGGCTATGGAATCAACCTAAGTATCTATCAACATATGAATGGACAAAGAAAATGTGGTATATATATACAATAGAATACAATTAGGACGTGAAAGAGAATGAAATATTGTCATCTGCAGCAGTATGAATGAAACTGGAGGTAATTATGTTATATGAAATAAGCAAGGTACAGACAGACAGACATCACATGTTCACACTCATATGTAAGAGCCAAAAATTTGGATCTTGGTCCAGAATGGTGGCTCATGCCTGTAATCCCAGCACTTTGAGAGGCAAGAGATGGGAGGATCACCTGAGCGAGGACTTCAAGACCAGCCTTGACAACATAGTGAGATCCCGACTCTATCAAAAGAGAAAAGTAAAAAACTTAGCTGGACATGACGGCACATGCCTGTAGTCCCAGCTACTCATGAAGCTGAAACGGCAAGATCATTTGAGCCCAGGAATTTGGGCTTCAGTGAGCTATGACTGCTACAGTGTGCGATGAGACCCTGTCTACTTAAAAAACAAACAAAAAGTGGGTCTCATGGAGATAGAAGGTAGAACAATGATTATCAGAGGCTAGGATGGGTGAAGGGTGGAGATGAAAAGAGGCTCGTTAATGAGTATAACAACATTTCAAAATATAAGCCATGAACTTGAATTAGAAAGGACATTACTTCCTGTTTATTTTTCTTAAATAAAACTCTTCAAATGACCAGAGAATTAATTAACAAATTAATTCTTTAACTTAACATTTTTCATAAAACCATCATTTAACTTTCCTTAATCAGATTATGTCCCTTACTTATGACAGGGAGATAAACCATAACTATATTGAGAAAGGCAATTTAAAGAGTGTTGATTAGTAAAGACTGGTTCATTATCTTCTAAATGTACACTAATAATGATGTTTATATTGATGATTCTAGAAGCAGAGGTTAGAAAATGTCTTTAAAGAGTAAATAGTATTTCAGATTTTGCAAACCAGATGGTTTCTGTCATAATTACTTCTGTCTCTGTCACAGACAACCATAGACAATATGTAAACAACTGAGCTTGACTTTATTCTAATAAAACATTACTTTCAAAGGTAGCCAAGGTATAAACATGGCTCAACATATGAAATTCAATTAATATAATATACCACACATTAACAGAATAAAGAAAAAATCATCTCTAATTATGCAGAAAAAGCATCTGGCCAAATTCCACAGCTTTTCCTGATTAAAAACACCCAACAAACTAGGAACAGAAGGAAAATATCTAAATATAAAAAGGTCAATATGAAAAACCCACTGCTAACATCATACGCTACAGTAAAAAGTCAAACGCATTTCCTCTAAGATGGGAACAAGACAAGGATGTCATAACTTGGAAAACTGAAACTGACTCTTACAGGTCGGTCATTCAATCATTCAACCCTTTCCTCCGCCGCTACTTTCATTCTTTTGCATTCATTCCCAAAATTAGCTCTTCATAGAATTGTCTTTCCAATTTATTAGTTACGTTGGAAGCAGTCTTCTCATTGCTTGTATTTTTATCCTAATTCTGCCACCCATCTTCTGCTCCCTTATAGCTGAAGACTTTCCATTTCCACTTACTTGAATAATGGTTGCTCTTTTGGCCCAGCTCAAGTTCTTCAATAATGTTTATGTCCCCCTACTTCGACTCCAACTTAGCTTTGAACTTCTACTCCAATTATTTTTCGCAGCTTACACTCTATTAGTATATAAGCAAATAGCATCTTCTCTCTCTCTGTCTCTCTCTCTCTATATATATATGTACATATATACACACATACATATACGTATTATTTTTTTTCTTTTCTTTTTTTTTTTTAAGAATGGAGTCTAGCTCTGCACCCAGGCTGAAGTACAGTGGCGTGATCCTGGCTCACTGCAACCTCCACCTCCCAGGGTCAAGCAATTCTCCTGACTCAGCCTCCCAAGTAGCTGGAATTACAGGCGCCTGACACCACATTCAGCTACTTTTTGTATTTTTAGTAGAGATGGGGCTTCACCATGTTGTCCAGACTGGTCTCCAACTCCTGATCTTGTGATCCACCCGCTTTGGCCTCTGAAAGTGCTGGGATTACAAACGTGAACCACCTCGCCTGGTCTACCATCCTATATTTTTAAGTGTAATGAAAATATCTTTAAATTATGCATGTAAACTCACTTAAGGTAGAGCTGCGCTTTCATTTATTTTTAGTGCCCAGTACAGTACAGCATACATATAAAGTTTTCAATTAACATTAAAAATCCCCGACTCTTGGACTCAATCATGGTCTTTTAAAAATGGAAGCAGGCTGGGCACAGTGGCTTATGCCTGTAATCCCAGTACTTTGGGAAGCTGAGGTGGGTGGATCGCCTTAGGTCAGGAGTTCGAGACCAGCCTGGCCAACATAGTGAAACCCCATCTCTACTAAAAATACAAAAAATTGGCTGGGTGTGGTGGCAGGTGCCTGTAGTCCCAGCCACTCAGGAGGCTGAGGCAGCAGAATTGCTTGAACCCGGGAGGGCGGAGATCATGCAACTGCACTCCAGCCTGGGCAACAGGAGCGAAACTCCGTCTCAAAAAAAAAAAAAAAAAGGGAAGCAACCTGGTAAAAGGTAAGTCTGACTGGTGGTGTTTGTTCTGATGCACACTAGGAAGCTTGTTTCAAAAACAAAAAGGCTTATCTATTAGAATATCCACTAAAGATATCCGTTAAAGCTGATGTATTAGAATGGGGAAAGAGAAACATGCCCTGGTCAAGGAGTTGACATCTGTCTCTAGTTAGCTATCCATACCAAGTCAGTGAAGAAATCCAAGTCAAGGAAGAAGCCAACAAAACATTTGGCTTTTTCTAATAAAACTGATCCTTAAGGGGTTGAGCCGAGGTCCAGCTGATATTATGCAAAGGTTTCAAACTCTACCAATTTCTCCAGTACTTGAAATCTGTTATTTACATACTAGATTTTGGTAAAAGAGCTCTGGTAAACCCTAGAAAACTGGAACAGAGACAACTGTCAGGAAAACCTGCACACTAATTTTGCTTTTCCTTCACAGACAATGATATGGTAATGCTGAGAAAATATTTTAGTTAAAACCTAAAGAGACAGGCTGTGTCTGGCTCCCGATCTCACAGCCACTGCAGTACACTGAGCTCCATAGAGACAGCACCAGGGCAAGTGAGAGCCGGACGGGCACTGGGCAACTCTGCCTCGCTGAGGAAAAATAACTAAACATGGGCAAAGGAGATCCTAAGAAACCAACAGGCAAAATGTCATCATATGCATTTTTTGTGCAAACTTGTCAGGAGGAGCATAAGAAGCACTACCCAGATGCTTCAGTCAACTTCTCAGAGTTTTCTAAGAAGTGCTCAGAGAGGTGGAAGACCACGTCTGCCAAAGAGAAAGGAAAACCTATATACCCCCTAACGGAGCGACAACAAAGAAGTTCAAGGATCCCAATGCAACCAAGAGGCCTCCTTTGGCCTTTTTCCTGTTCTGCTCTGAGTAACGTCCAAAAATCAAAGGAGAAAATCCTGGCCTGTCCATTGGTAATGTTGTGAAGAAACTGGGAGAGATGTGGAATAACACTGCTGCAGATGACAAGCAGCCTTATTAAAAGAAGGCTGCAAAGCTGAAGGAAAAACACGAAAAGGATATTGCTGCATATCGAGCTAAAGGAAAGCCTGATACAGCAAAAAAGGGAGTTGTCAAGGCTGAAAAAGCAAGAAAAAGAAGGAAGAGGAGAAAGATGAAGATGAAGAGGATGAGGAAGAGGAAGATGATGATGCTGATGAGTAAGCTGGTTCTTGTGCAGTTTATTTTTTTTGTCTATAAAGCATTTAACCTCCCCGTACACAACTCACTCCTTTTAAAGAAAAAAAAAAAACGAAATGTAAGGCTGTTTAAGATTTGTTTTTAAACTGTCTTTTTTTTTTGTATAGTTAACAGACTACCAAATGTGTCTTTAGATAGCCCTGTCCTGGTGGTATTTTCAAGAGCCACTAACCTTGCCTGGTACAGTATGGGGGTTGTAAATTGGCATGGAAATTTAAAGCAGGTTCTTGTTGGTGAACCGCACAAATTAGTTATATATGGGGGTGGTAATTTTTTCACCTTCAGTTGTCTGATGCAGCTTATACAAAATAATTGTTGTTCTGTTAACTGAATACCACTCTGTAATTGCACACAAAAAAATGTTGCAGCTGTTTTGTTGATATTCTGAATGCTTCTAAGTAAATACAATGTTTTTATTTAAAAAAAAAAAAACCATCTAAAGAGCCAAGAGGTTTGTTGACATTTTCCAAACTGAAGATACAAATCAATGTACATTTTTCCAAACGTAAAGCCCAAAAGTTTTCAGCATGAAGTGAGCTTTCCAAATCCACTTTATATTGCATAAACAGTGCTACTAGCAGTTTTCAGAACTTGTTAGAAACACTGGGGACAAAAAAGACAATTTTTTTTTTGGCCCCAATGTTTCTAACAAGTTCTGCTTCTTCCCCTTTGCTGTAT